GGAGGTTTTTTTCCCCCTGTGGGGGTTTTCGGTTCCTTCCCACTGTTGCGGACTGCTTGTGGACTGCTGAAGCTTATAGGGAATCCAGATGTTTTGGATTGTTGGGTGTCTCTGCCTTTGTGAAGCGCTATGAGATGACTTGTTGTTGTAAATATGCACTATACAAATAAAATTGAATTGAATTGAATTAAAAAAGCCATTTTAAACAGAAAGGTTTTGAGCTCTGAGTTGAAAAGACCCACCAGGTCAGTGATGGTGCACATGTCGGGGAAAGCTTGTTCCAGAACGTGGGTGCAGCAACAGAGAAGGCCCGATCACCAATGGAGACCGTAAAGGACAGGGGCAGTGTGCTCATGTCTGGGAGTCTTTGTTAAAAAACGGGCTGCAGCATTTGCACGAGTTGCTGATGGAAGACTGGGAGATGCCAACATAAAGTGCATTGCAGTAGTCCAGTCTTGAACTGATGAAAGCACGAGTAGCTTTTTCAAGGCCGGTTTGATTAAGAAATGGCTTGACTTTGGCTAAAAGACGCAGTTGGAAGAAACTTGCTCTCACCACCATGTCAGTTTGTTTGTCAAATTTCAGGCCTTTGTCAAACATCACCCCAAGATTTTTGACAGTTGGACTGAAAGTCATTGTACCAAAACCAGACACATCAGCAGCCCCAAACACAATGCATACAGTTTTGCCTTCCTTTAAAAAGTAGGAATGTTGTGACTGTGGTCTTAATTTGTATATACTATGTTATTCGTTTATAGAATGTTATTTTTCCTTTGATCTGTGTGTGACTCTGTGATCCTATTAACGATGTAAATAGGGCTGTGTCATAGCGACCACTGGATTGGCAGATCAACGGAAGTTCCGGTGTTAAATACGGAAGGAGGACTTCGCGATTCTTCACCGGCATCCCAACCGGCACACCACCACGTTCAGCAGTCTTCTGTCTAGTAACTCTGTGTAAATAGAACGAGCTGCTACCTTTTTGTTTAATCCAATTTTCTCCTGTTTATGTTAGATAGGGAGGCCAGACTTTGTGTTTACTTTGAATACTTTTATTGTGATAGGTAAGTCGGAACTCCCCTAGTTTAATGTCGCTCTGGTTGTTGTTTTCGGTTCCACTCTTATTTCAAGTTAATCATCACCTTTGTTTCAACCTCACATTTATTATAAATAAATAATTATTTTCCCGGTGAAATTGCTGTGGTGTGGCTGCTTGAGACCGGAGAAGGACGGCGCATTCATGTTGCGTTCAAGTACCCCTAGGCTGGGCGTAGCAAGGAAGTTGGATGACAACCACTGCTTAATGTCTTCAGTACAGCTGGTTGTACTACTCAGTGCCTCACTTTCTGTGGATTGCACTGGTAGCTAAGTCTGAAAGTCATCTGCATAACGTTGGAAAGACAGATTACGCTTAGCTATAATTGACCCAAGCAGCAGCATATAAAGGGAGAACAGTGTAGAGCCGAGAACTGATCCTTGCGGCACCCCTCAAGAGAGAGACACACAACCAACCAATCATTACTGAAAAACTCTGATCAGTAAGGTAGGAAGGGAACCACCTAACTGCGGTGGCGCTGATGCCAACATGTTGGTTCAGATGAGCTTGGAGGACTGTATGGTCCATTGTGTCAGAATGTGTGAGCGGGATTGACAGGCTGGTAAGCATCACATACTGGGAGACTTCTGTAATGAGAAAAAGAAACGAGTGACCTAATGATGAAACAAAGAAAAGACAATACAGTAATGAGAGGTAATGTTTAAAAAAAAAAAAAAAAAACACCAAGGCAAAAACATGGTTCCTTTCTGTGAATTACTGGATAATCTCTTACAAGATTATATCTGTAATCATTTTTCAATTCATACATTTTTACTGCTGATTATTTTCACTCCACCATCATAAAGGCATGAGCAGATCCGGTCATCCTTACACTGTGCAAAGCTTTTTCTGTTTAATTGATGTGCTACTCAAACGTATTCTTAAAGTGTGGCAGACAGTGTTAGCCTTCTTCTTTCAGCGGCAACCCCGGTGGTGTCATTTGGCAATGGTTACACTACAACATTTACCTCACACGTTCAACATTATTAACACAAATAGGTTATATTTTACTCCTAATTCTCATCCAGTGTTACTGAAACCTTTCCCAGATGAATAAAAAACATCTCTGTATTACACTAAGAGTTCCTTTATAACTGCCTCAGTGAAATAAACAGAAGTTTCTATAACACTGGCTTTAGTCCTCACACAATGTCACCATCATCCACAAAACACTGTACGTATTAAACAGATCTGTCCATCCATCCTCTGGGTTTTTGGTGGCTTCGTTTAATATTACGTGCAGTTTATCTGTTGTCAGTGAAATTAATTTAATATATTCAACAATATTTTTCTGAAGGTTTAAAAATAAATAAAAAATAAATAAAGAAGATTTTACAAAAAATAAACATTAAATTGACAAATCATCAAAGTCTAATACAGAACATCTTGATTGTTAGTTTAGTTTATTAGAATTACTGGTTAGAATAATCAGATCAGATGTTCAGATTGAAGCTGAGGCCATCCATAAGGCACTTGTCACTGAGGATTATGTAGACTGTATTGTTGTACTGCAGGCATTGTCACCAGCTCACAACACTTCGCTATGCAGTGTTTAGCAGCATGACTGTACCCACAGCAACACCAACTAACACAGGTCTTTGCCTCACCTTTTAATCTTGAATATCAGCATACCAGTTTGCATGCATAACGAAACTTGGCAACACAATGACGGATGGTCCAAAATGATTGGCCAGGGGAAGGATCTGATGTTATATATAAAGGCAATGCAGGAAGATATACCCTCAGGTAGCCAAAGTTCGCTTTGGTACAAAAAAACCCTACAGACTTTATTGTTGGAAATCTTACCACCATAAAGATTTATCTCTTTCTATTTTTGTTAATATCACTGTTCTTTTTTTATATTTGTATAATATATATTATATATATATATAAATAAATATTATAATATATATTTATTTATATATTTATAGATATTTAGATATAGATATTTAGATATAGATAAGAGCGTCATGCATTTCTCTCATCCACTGACTTGCCTCTGTCTCTCTCCACAGAGCGCTCAGTTCTACAAGGTCACCACTGAGAACTACCATAAAGCTGCAGATCAAGTCAATGCCAAATTCAGGTAAGTTGAATGTTGAGAATTNTAAGTATATATAATGGTAAAAGTACTAGGCGAACTTTCGCTGCCTCAACAGGATCCGGGGGGGAATCAACAACAGGTAAGTCCAACAATTGTTCTTTTTTTCCTTTCAAAAGTCTGTCCTATTGTGTTGGTTATGCATCTTTAAATACCAAACCTGGTTCAGTGACTTTACGTTATATTGTATACGTCTGTCGCGTGGTTCTATGTGGTAAACTGCACTTTCTGATTCAAATTTTGCACTCATTTACAATCAGGAAATTCATTTTTCAATATCTAGGACTGAATATTAGTCAATTATTAAATCTTCTTGTATTGATCAGTTTTAAAATCAGAAGTTCTGATTCCATTGACCTCCAGTTCCCAAACAAAGAAGTATATGGCAGAACTAAAGATAATTATACACAAAACATCTATGAACTACTGCTAGAAACAAACAACAGGCAGCCAATGAAAAAAACAATAACAGGTAAACAAATGATTGTCTCAGGATGTTTAACTTATGTATAAATCCAATTCCAGTTCCACAAATGTTTCACATATGAGTTGTTCTTTTCAGTACTGGTCCTGCCCACCTGGATTATGAAGTCCAGATAGTGGGATCATCACTCTAGTGATGTTACAGTTCTTTAATTGTAGGATTTTAAACAGTTCACTTTATTCTTGTATAGAAAGTTCTGGGTGTTAGAAGGAGATAAAGGTCAGGAGGGCAGAGTGAAGAATGTAATTTATTCTTCTCCAGCGGTGCGGCTATCTTCAGAATTACCTCCTGTTGTCCCCAAGATGGTTTTGAGTCGTCATTTTGATTTAGAAATCCCACTTACATGCTCCATTTGGGTGCAAAGTTCTGTGTTCGCTGTTTTCTCAAATGGCCTCCCACCAAATTTACAGCTGTGAGGAAGGGTCTCTGTTGCTTTGAAATGAACTTGGCAATAAACAGTTGTGCTGCTGTTTGGTATGCTACAAAACATTGATTGTTTTCCTCATTAAGTTGAACAGAAGCAGAGAACAAGGTCCAGAGGTAGCTGAAGAAGGAGAAATGTCATCAAGCAGCTGTACCAACCCGCCGTTCATGTCCCTCCAAAGGTACTCTAAGAAGAGAAATTAAATAAAATGCTGTAGTCATGCCAGCTGAAATAAGTCTTAATACAAACACACAATGTAACATATGCTAATTAAATGAACAAGTCACAAATCTAATATATTTTACCCATTTTTCCCATCCAGCTTTTATGGAACCCTCTCTGAAAATCTCAGAAACATCCCTGATGTACACAAAAAGTTCCTTTATAAATGCTTCTGTAAATTAGACAGAAGATTTTATATCACTGGCTTTAGTCCTCACACAAAAGTCACCATCATCAACAACATACTGTAAGTGTTAAACAGATCTGTCCATCCTCTGGGTTTTTGGTGGTTTTGTTTGATAAGACTGCATTTCATCTGTTGTCAAACAAATTTAACATATCTAACATTGTTTTTCTTCATTTGACCATAATTAAGTCTTGAATATAGATACTACAAACACATACTGTAAAACATGAACATTCAAGTCTCCACAGTCTAATATTTTACTCCTTTTTATCATCCAGTTTAGCAGCAGTCTTCTACAAACAGAAATGTTTTCTCTTTGACTTGGAGCTGGACAGAAGATCTGCTGACCTCAGTTTAACTCTTATCATCTGCACACCAAACATCCAGTAAGTATTAAACAGAAGATCTGTCCCCCTTCTGAAGGACATGTGGTCGCTTTGAGACAAACATTGAATAGTAAAGACATGACTTTAAGCCACTAATTAAACTTCTAAAAATTCTGCAATATCCCTATTTAACAATGGTCAGTTCAGTGTATCGACAGTTTTAAACGATGCATCTTTACATGCTGTATTCAGCACATGGATACTCTCACAACTGAACAGTTGAAAAACATAATTGCAATTTACAATCTCATTCAGCAGAAATTGTAAACAACTGTTCACCATGTGATTTTGTGGACTGAATGAATTAACTTGTTTTTTCCCCATTCAGGGAAGAGGGCCAGCGGCAGGAGGATCCCTCCTTTACTCTGCAGAGGATGAATGTTGCAGAGAATATGGTTCCACATAATTGTTTTGGTTCAGATTATCAGCTACTGAGCCTCGATAATATCGATGATAACAAAAGAGAAAAATGGCAGCTTCTCTTGGAGAAGAGGAAGAATAGAGGAGCAACTGCTGGTGTTTTTAAAGACGATACCTTAATTCAAGTTTTTCATAAAGAGAAGCCAGATTATAAGACCAAACAGATTTTAAATGACCTTGCGGTTCACTATGAGGAGTTATTACTCATAGAAATTCAGCAATATTTGGTGATGTTAACACAAGAGGAAAAGAATGAAGGCCAAGAGAGTAGGATGGAAATTCTGATTTATATACCCAGTAGTCCATGTATTAAGAGAGAGAAAGACAATATTACCCCCTGTTTCTTTTTGCTGATACAAAAAGCAAATCAGTGGAAAGAACAATTCAAGTTTTTAAATTTTGCCATTTGTGTGGGATTCACAGAATATTGGGGACCACTTAGTCCAAACGTTCTCAACAATGTCTCAGATTCAGTAATCTTGAGTACCAATAGTGTTTTTTGGCCATACATTGGAAGTATCTGCTTTAAACTAAATTGGAATAAATTTAAAAATAAAATTAGTAAAATGCTAAAAGAAAAGAAATTTCAAAAGATCCAAAATCTGGACAAAAACTTAAGGACATGTAATGAAAAACTTCGTAATTTGACACAGTCGGAGTTTGAATTTAGACAACATTTAAATGATGGAAACAAAATCATTTCTTCCATATTTTCAGAGAATGATCACATTTGTAAGGCTTTATGCAACGTCTGGGAAGAAGAGGTTAATAATCAAAGGCTGGAAATTATAAAGGATAAAGTCATAAAAGATTTTAACAACATGTTCGCCAATATTTTTCTAAGACAACAGAATTTGTTTTTCAGAAATGACAACTTAGAATTTTGTATAATTCCAAACCAACAACAACCAAAGTGAGGGGGGGTGTTGGTCCCTGTTAGAATAATTCTGTTATGATCCAATGATCTTTGTGAAAAGTCTACAAGTTAATGCTGTAAATGTCCATTGCCTCTTTTTCACCTTGTGAGTGTGAGATAAGGGCAAGATGTCCTCTGCGGGTAGTCAAAACACCATGCCTAAACACACCCATTTGCGGAAGGTTGTCTTCTGTTTTCTGTTCACTGTCTGTATAAGAACCAATGCTTCATGCATTTAGTCAATCACTTGTTCAGACTCTGTACTGTACATGTTGCTCCTTGCTGCAAGTAAAGCATTGCTTTGACCTAAGAGACGACTCTGTGTATTGATTTGGAGCAGTTAGGACTCCACTAAAGAATTCTCCTAACAGTTCCTTTCCACCGTCACCGACCGCTTCCTCATAGGAAATCCAAAGACAGCTTTGGATAGGTGGGTCCTCTGTTTGTTTAAAAAAAAACACAAGGTTCTCACCTTACTATGTGTAGTGCTATGAGATGACATATGTTGTGAATTGGCGCTGTACAAATAAAATTGACTTCATTTTGAACCTGTGTGTGCCTTGTCTCCAAAATAGATCTGTGGTTACACATGTTGCTCCACAGCTGTGTGTGTCTGTAGATTAAAGAGGATGTGTTAGTAGATGAAAAACAGAATCCATCAGTAAACTTAACCAGAAGATAATGTGAGTTTTTAGTGTCGGTAACCAGATACTGCTGAGTTTATTCTTGCGATTACACATTAATGTAAAATTCTATTTCAGAAAACACAGCTTGTGTTGGGTGGAAAAAAAACAAAAAAAATAGTAAAAATAAGTACATGTGTTTTCATCAGTACAACGAGCCTTAACACAGGTTTCATTTCCTTTATTAGTAGTTTATTCACTGATACATGACCTTGTTAGGTACCATTGTGCCAGCACACACACTCACACACTCTTATCCTTTTGATATGGAGCTTTGAGAATTGGCACAAACAATATACAAATGAACTTCCTGTATACAATACTGATTTCAAACTGAAAGTAATCAACAATAAATATCCAAAACTGACACAAGATAAAAAGCGGAGCTGGATCTGGGGTATGTGACGTCTTCTTTTTATTCAGTGCAAACATTAAATTAAGAAAAAGAAAACAGGCTGGTTTCTAACTTTTGGCCCTAAAGTACTTTGCAACCAGTCCGAGTAGAGAACATAGCAGGTTGTGAATGTACAAGCATCACTTCAGGATCTGCAGAGTCCCTGCTGTGTGACACAGAAAAGTTAAAATGTCTTAACAAAAAAGACAGAAAGAAAAGTCGACATGTTAATTTAAAATACAAATATCACTTCCAACACCAGAAGTCTATAGTGATAAAGTCCGAGGTTCCTCTGGTCTCAGAACATGTGATTTGTCAAGACTAGGAATCCAAAAAAAAGCACACAAATGATTTTTTTTTAAAAAACTTCAGCGATTTAAGCCCAGAGAATGAATAAGGCAAGCAAGCTCATACTGTATATACAGTCAAGGTAACTATTTACATGGAGTTTACATATTGTTAAGTAACTTCGCCAACAGTTGAGGTTGTGGTTTGTCTCCCTCTACTGGTTCAAACTAGTGTCACACCGCAGACAGCAGTGATGAGCGCAGACGTAGCTTCATGCTTTTAAATTTCCCATTTCAGTGCATTCGGACGAAACCATGAAAATGCAGTGGCTGGCAACCACAAGTCCAGTGTGTTTAGAGACACCCACAGCCTGCTCTGACTCTCCCTCCACATCTGAGGCTGCAACACGGGGATGAGAAAACCATTCCTCGCAGTCAGCTGATGTTGGTTTTGTTCGTTTCATTATTTCCATATTGCTTTGCTTCATCCTGGATGGTAAGATGGAGAAGGTCGGGTAAAAGGAGTGAAAGAAGGTGCAGAGCTACTCCATTACTCTGGAATGTTGAACGCAAATATACAAATCATGTACATGTCACTACTGTGGTGACAGCAGATACGTTACCTCACAAACACTGGCAACTTATCTATGACTACTGTGTTTATTTGGGAGAGAGCTCCCAGTTAGGTCGACTCAGTCACAGCACTGGCTTAAGAGACCCAGCTGAGCACAAGTGATCATCCTTATTACTAATTATACAAGACGCAAAGAGGTGGATAAAAACAAAGCTTAATAAATTAGTGATCGCAAACAAATACAACTAAAGAGCAGCGTCTAGATGAAGGATAACTAAGCCAGCACTAAACAAACCACTCCAGCATTGTGTGCGACTCAAAAGTCACATTAAAACAGTAAGGATGTAAGTGAAACCTGAATGCAGCGGAGCCTGACTCGCTCAGATATTCAGACGAACTGAGGAGAAGCTCACATTTAAACTGTGAGGCAAAAAATAATTTAAAAAAAATCAGTTCCAAGAGTTGAAAAAAACAGATTAGGTCACCAACAGTGCTGTAAAACTACACTGTTATGAGCCGAGGTGCAGATAAGCAGGACTGATGAGATCTAAAACAGTATCAAGGATGTCTGCACGCCTCAAGGTTGATCTTGTCCCCCCTCGGTTAAAAGCAATACCCCAAAAAGACAACTGCTTCGGTTGTCTGTGCACCAAAGATGACCCTTTCTAAAGATTTCTTTCACAATGACCACACCAAGATGAAGACTTGTGGCCTGTGTGAGCGACTGGAACCATGTAGGACGAGCCCAGAGGGGAAACCAAGACACCTATGAAATGTTTTACCGCCAATACTTCAACCAAAGACAGCCTCGATCTGGGACGTCACTGCAGGCGACACAGTGCGCATCGCAAAACACTAACGAAACTTGAGATTTAGATTCTATGTGTTAAACCAAAAACAAGCCTTTTCAATTACTTCACCAGTTTAAATTAAATGTTTTAAATGTACATCTAAGAATAAATCCCGTTAAAACAGGTAAGTCTCTCATATGCTCACCTTACAGAGTGAGACAAAAATATGCAGCAAGGCAGTACATGGAAGAAAAAAAAAAACTGTTCCTGACCTAAACCAGCAAGATTGACACAGTTTTGGTGCTTGGTATTGATATATATCTATATAGTGTGTATGCGTTTGTGTGGAGACCAAACGGGAAGAAGAGACTGCAGGCTGTAGGTGGAGCGAGTGTAGGTCGGCGGACGTGGACAGCAGGACTCATGGTGGCGTCTCTGCATTATTAGCCGTCGTCTTTTTCTTGGCCGGCTTCTTCACTGTCTTGGTTTGAGCCTAGAAGACAAGAGAAAACAAATCGGGAATAATACAGCTGACTACCCACATAAACCCCCCCGAGGATGCCTCACCCTTTGTTTCCTTTTGGTTCCCCCACACTCATCACGCCAGTAAACGCAGATAGATAGATATATTTCTACGTATAGACACACGGACATATCTGGTATCACAGAATTCATGAAGTCATTTTCTTAAATAGTCAATAAGTTACTTTTAATGATTATGCTTTTTGCACAAGGCAGCCTAAACGCACACAGTCCAATGTCCCCATGGCCGCTGTCAGTCGGGTCTTGAAGCATTTCATCTGTGAAGACTTAAAGGATTAAAAATGGTGTCGGAATTGTTCAGATTGACTTTTTATTGGTATTAACATTATTGTAGGAGGACAAATATCTTTAATTGTTACCAATTTCGGCTCTGTTGTTGTATCACCTCCAGGTTATTTAAATCCTCCTCGATCGGGCCTTCTACTCACAGCAGCGCCAGTTGGTACAACACAGAGTGACGACATTAATGCCCTTATCGGAAGAACTGATATAAGTCATCACTTTTCCTCTAGCGCCGTGAAATCAGACTGTTGAACTCACACAACTCTTACTTCCTCTTAAACACACCCTCACTTTAAAAGTGCATCTCGAACAGTTTATATGTAATATATAAGGTGCAATATATTATCTTATTCAACATACAGTCCACTTCAACAGGCTCTCTGACCAAACTCTTACAGTATTAATGTACAGTGGCTTATTTTATTCTATGTATAGTGGCTTTATTTATTTTATACCTTATTTGTTTTCTTTCTTCCTTCTTTTCTTAAATATTTTTGTATATATGGCATTTGTGAGGCATGTGTAATGGAATTTCACTCTGAATTCTGAATGTGTTCTTGTTTTGGACTAAACCCCTCTAAAACTATTGTCTTTCCCATCAGCTTCAGCTGCATTTAGAATAGAATAGAATAGAATAGAATAGAACTTTATTGATCCCTTTGGTGGAAACCTCAGGGAAATTGTTGGGTTTAATTTTAATTTTAATTTTTTTTATTTAGTGTTTTATGGTCAGTGTCAGCATGCTTACATGCTAAACTGAAAAGTCCTGCATTCGTTTTATCTACACTATTAGATTCATGGATAATCAGAACATAGCTTTAGCATTTGAATTAACATTGATATCATTAATAACAAGCTGACAGAGTGATGAACAGTCATTCTGTAGTGAAATAGTTTGGACACTTACGTTATTTCTACAGCTACTTACTGGCTTTTAAGCTGTTAGCTAACGCTATGCTAGGTTGGCATAACTACAGCCATCTTATTGCTAATATAAACAGACAGGGAGTAACTTAAGCTAGGTTAGCAAAACTTTAGCAATGCAACGGAAATGAAAAGCATGACCGACGACCAATTAAGCACGCGTCAGTCGTCATGGCACATGGCAGAGAGTTAAAGTGAACCAGGAGACATGTTGACTCATTGTTCATGTAGCTTACTCCTGAACTCCTGAGAGGACAGCGGTGAGGACTGAAGGACTGAATGGAGTCAGAGCTCCATCTAGTGGTCAAATGGCGCAATGACAGCATTCTGTGCCACTGTGACACTTAATTCTACATTTACCGTTTTATGAGAAAATAACCAGACAGTAAGCCAGGACATCACCAAAATGTAATCACCTGTTCATTCTGCCATTATCAACACTTCCTCAAAATTTCATGAAAATCCGTTGATAACTTTTCAAATTATCTTGCAAACAAACAAACCAACCAACAGATAAACGCTGGCTAAAACCTAACCTCCTTGGCAGAGGTAACAAGCTGAAGATAGTCGTAATACAGTCCAGGAAAACAAAAGCTTTTAATACCTGGATAAACGTCTGAAGTCTGTGACTGAAGTTTAGTAGCCACAAATATATCAGTCATCAGCTGGACACTATAATTACAGATGCAGAACAAAACAGCTATGTATGTTGATTTTTTGTTTATAAATATGCTAAATATAAATCTGTATACAATGATACTGCATATACAGTATGAATGCATATATACGCATGTATATGTAGTTAGTATGTGGTATGGAACTAGGACAAAGTCACTGTGAACATGTTAGCATGTCATCATTAGCATTATGCACACATCATGGCTGTAGTAATTAGCGCAGCTTCACAGACTGCTTGCACGGCTGTAGAATCTTAACTTGTCGTCCACACTAAAAAAATTGAACTATTGAGAGCTTTGAGATGAATTACAAGCACTTCATATTTTTTTCCCCTAGTTCAAAATGTTCTGTGTAAACTTGTTTGCACAACATAAAAAAAAAAAAAACGTTCCTTTTTGTGAAGATGCATGTTCTTATTGTTAATGTCATAACTAAATTACTGGAGTTAATTTTAGGAAAACAAGAAACTAATCAAATTTTAAGCCATGATCGTGCCACCTCATGTGAAAATCACGTACACGTGTCTTCACTGGACCTACCTCTGTCTTAGCAGCAGCAGGTTTCTTGGTTGCCTTGGTGTTGGTACTGCGTTTGGGGGCTTTGTCTCCCACATCTTCATCAGAGTGTTCAGTCCTTGTGTCTGACAGGTCAGAGCTGTGTTGGGATGACGTGTCATCGGCAAGGGATGCGGCTGCTAGAGAGCGAGCTGCAGGATTGGACAAAGATTGATGGTCAGTTAATGAGATAAGACAGAAAGGGAGGCCAAATTTAACTCCGTCAACAGTTTTCAAGATTTCTGCATTTTCTCGCCACTTAACCAATTCAATCATCTGATTTATCAGAAAAGTAATATCCCTGAATCAACTGTTCAAAAAGCTGTAGTAGCAGACCAGAGCATCACTGCAGTCACAGCCTCTCACACCACCGAGTGGACAGATTTAAAAATACTGCTTTTGTGTCCACCACTTTTATAATGGGAAGCTTGCTATTACTAAAAACCGTCACCAGATAAGAGTTTTTTCAGTCAAGCCATTATCATAGCATATTTGTGATAAGCGTTGCAGTATTAATAAAACATCAGTCATTAGATTCAGTGCACTAACTAAAAGAAACATGACTCGCATGCGTGACGGAAATTTCATCTTCCACCTGAGTCCGCGAGGAACTGTCGGCACAGCAGGCTCGCCGACTGCACAAGCACCGGGAAAACAAATGCTGCTTAAAACAAGACAATTTTCCGTCATCCAAAACTTAATAACTCTTCATGTAAAGAGTTGTAATGAAAGCAATCACTGCCAGACTTTAGATGTGCTGTAAACCCTCGTACGTGCTTTCCATCAGCGGTGCCTAAACACATTTAAAAGTACCAACTTCTCCAGACGTCCTGCTGCCACTGTGCTCGACATACCTCGGGAACATTCCCATTGACATGGTGCTACAGCCCAATCTGTGAGGTAGCTGCTACTTCCTGTAAACAGGGCAAAGTCACAGCCAGCCTTTCAGAGACACTTCAAAGCTTTGCAGCAAACTGACGCGTAACTACAGTAGTATGAACACAACTGCATGCAAGTCTGCTGGCGGATTTCAAACTCTGAAAATGGTTGCGTAAAAGGACGTGGAAACCATGAATTTGCCCGAAGTAACGTGGAGCTAAAAGGGACTGTGGAGCTGCTGCACATATTCCTAAAAACAATCTGGTTTCTTTCAAGAACTTGGAGTCCCTCATCAGCTGTGATTCCCAACCTGGGCCAAGGAGGTGACAAAACATATCTGGAGGCTGCTGAAATGATTTAATAGATTGGAACTGAAATAAATAAAAAACACTCCCCTACACAAGATTGTGTTGAATTGGATTTTTCTATCATTATATTTTCTTGTGAGATACAGTTTTATTCTTTGAAACTTCTTAAAAACAAATAAGCTAACCCTGGGCCGCCACTTTAGCTCACCTGGTTGAGCTGGCGACCCACGTACAGGGGCTATAGTCCTCGATGCAGCGGTAATGGGTTTGAATCCCGCAACCCCTTCCCCATTCTCCTCCCCCACTTTCCTGTCTCTCTTTCAACGTTCCTATCTAATAAAGGCAAAAAGGCAAAAAAAATAGCTTTAAAAAAAAATAAAAATAAACTAACTCTTAAAAAAAGTTCAAATCACTCAGAGCATAATACGCCTTGAATTGTAGCAGCAGGTCACAGCAGGACGTCCCTGCTTTTGTGGAGACACGAGTCAAAAACATTGCAAACAACTGATTTGTAATATAACCTGCACTGTGAAAATGGTGTCACATTGGTTCGCAAATCTGTCGTTGCAAATGTTTTATGAGGAAGAAAACGCAAGTGCTTGCTCGCAGATGGACACTGTGTTTTGGTTTGCAAAACTAGGAAACTCCACAGGGCACCATAAAGAGCAGTACGGGACTGAAACCATCTCCAATTTGTTTTTGTGATCAATTAATCAGTAAATGTTTCAGTAACATTTTGGCTTACAGAACAGCAAAATGTTTAATTTCTGCACATTCAAGAGAAATATACCGAGCTGAAACAAACCATGTTTTGCCTTGAAAACAAAGATTCTCTTAAATAAACACAGAAGAGTTCCCGAAGGTTATTGTCAGCAAAATCTCTGTCTTCTTTATCTTGTTCTAGCTTTCCGTCACACCGGGTTCAGGAACTTTGGCAGCATGAATTAAAACATGCCACTCTGCCCTGCTCGTTCATCGTTTCAGTGCCTCTCTCTGTATTCACTTTGCAGCTTGTCAGGCCCACACAGTCAGCCAGCCGGCAGCGCAGCGAGACACAAAGAGTCCTCCTTCAAGAGTCTCCTCCCGCTGGAATCACATGCTCCCACCCCCCCTCCACTCGACCCTCTTTTCGTCCCTTCCCTCCTCTTTCCCTGCCATCCTGCAGTGTTTTTAATCACATGACGCCACTCGGCCCGACTCGTCCCAGCACCACTCTGATGAAAGTTAAATAAAGGAAAGCTCCGGCTCAGTTAGCGAGCTGCAAACGTAGTATGTATGTGCTTACGCGTGTGTGTGTGTGTGTGTGTGTTTCTTCTGAAGCTGCGAATGAAGCAGTGCTGGATGTGCGTGCTGCGTGGCCTTACTCTGGCGCGCAGCAGTGCTCTTGGCGCGTGGCAGCGTGCTGGACCCTGAGCTCATCTCGTCCATGGGGTCCCGTCTCATGCGGGCATCTGAAGTGTGCAGAGCCAGCTCGTCCTCGGCGTTGATCAGAGTCAGGTCCTGCATGCTGAAACTCCGCAGCTTGTCTGACAAAACACCCTGCCCCTGGGCGACACGGCAAACGCACACACGTTAGATATGTGACAGCATCCATCCTTTACCTCTTCATCAATCAGGCCCTGGAGGAAGATCTCATCCAAACATTCACGTTTAGTATCTGCCAGTTCTTATTTGGTGAAGCATTGACTGATTTATCTACAAAAGGCTGACAAGATAAACGTTTTATGTATTTCAGCTGTGTTATGTTGAGAATGCCATGTCTCATTTACTACTTACATAAATAGTATTGTATGACTGGCCATTAAAGGCTCACTACCACTTAAAAGAAACTCTCCTCATCTGAATCATTTAAAACTGCAATTAGCTGAGCAGCAGAAAATGTGAACAGAGATTCGCACAGAAAAAAATATGCTATGAATTGAAAATCAACAGATCTCCTTTTGAAAAAAGATATCTTTAAAAGAAAGCTGAAAATCGGACGACATGAGGTTGATGTGGTTCTTGGACTGTTGGTAAAAACTATTTAAGGCTTGAATTATTAAATTAATTGAAATATAATTAACACAGTAATAACTAATGGAAATGACTGTTAATTGAAGCTCCACAGTCATTAATAGATAATAAACAGCTACACTGAGATTAAAAAAAAAAAAAAAAAGCTGTCAGCGGTCCTAATAAACTAATTTAAGTTTGAAAGCTGTTTAACTAAGTGATTAGTAGCTAATGATCAGAGCAGCTGATGTGACAGAGGACAGAATTAGTCGAGTCTTGCATGTTTGTACTGAACAGTGCAGAAGTAATAATATGGGATTTTGGAAACAACGCCCTCCATGAAACATCACCATAGCCATACACTAAGACTGGCAGCAGCTATTTGCCGTTAGGACACATGGATTTGGCAGAACACATTACACCAGGTTCTTCACCTCTAGCCTCCTACACTCTTCATTTTCACACATGCATCAATTTTCAACTATTTGGAGGCAGTTATTTGGCGTACGGGTCCGTTCGTATTAACACACGGCATTAAAAAGCTCCTTCGGTGAATCCAATCAGCTACACACCTGTAAACACAGTTGTGAGTTGATATCTAACACACTGAGGACCCTGTGGGACTCTGGGAGCACTTAACCACGTTTAATTGTGTGCAAATGTAATAGAGAATTATTACAAGGCATCTTCGACCAAACAGCACGACTCTATTAATGTTGCGTGTCTAGCACAGCGGACCTCTTAGTTGATTAGAGCTGCAACAATTTGATCAGTTTACAATCGGAAATTGAAATCTGTATTTATTTAAATAATTAAGTCATCAAGGAAGGAAAATGGCAATTATTTTAATGGGTGAAAGCTTCTCAGGTGGATATTTTTAAGGTTGTTTTTTTTTTTGTCTTTTTTTTTTTTTTAGTTTTTTACGGCATAAAACAGTTTTCCTTATTTTGTTCAGATGATGTCAATAATTTAGTAATAATTTTGATCGAAGTTCAATAATTAAAGTATGCAGCCCAACAGATGACAGAGGGAAATTGAAAACACCTCACAAATCAGACAAACAAGTCTGCAGTCACCTCAGTTTTCC